TTCCTATCACAGCAGTGGCAGAGTTGTGGGAGGGATCCATTTTGGAGATGTAACCTACAGTTGAGGGGTGGGAGCCCGTGCCCCTTTCTGTGATCCACGTTGTTGGCATTCCTTCTAGGCTCTGCCCCACAGTTACCTGGTAATAGCCAGGTATGCCTGACTCACTATAAAAGGGGCTGCTTGCCCCCTCCTCTCTCTCTTGCCCTCTTGCTCCTGCTCCCCCCTCTCCCCATTCCCTTCCCCACTCCCTCTCCACATCCTCATGGCTGGCCTCTATTCCTCTACTCTGTCGTTCTCTGTCTCTACTCCTTCAACTCTCCTCCCCACACCCTGAATAAACTATTCTATACTAAACCATCGTGTGGCTGGTCCTTCAGCAGGAAGGGGTGCCTCAGCATGGCCCCACAGAGGCACCCCCTCCCCCACACCATACTTCACCTCTACAAACACATCCCTTCCTCCCTTTCTTTTTTATAAAACACAACACTGGTGCTGTAACTTGGAAGTGCCAACACACATGACATCGCTAAAGATGCAGAAAAAGTCGGCATCAAAGGGCCGAATGGAATGTGCTGTGTGCAACAGGAGATTCTGTGAACAAACCAACAAGCTAGAGATCAAAAGAATTCATCAAAACAAGACCAAATTAATAGCAGACACACACACCCAAGCAGGCTGACTAGAGGTACAAATGTAGAGCCGGGTGGAATGTGTCTCAGGGGCAGAGCGCTTACACACATCCCTGGGTTCCAACCCTAGCAGCCCCCTCCCAGGTAAAATAAAATATACAGCAAAATGGTGGCACTAACCTGGAACTAGAGGTGAAGTAATGTAAGGCCAGTGTGAACCAGTGATGTACTTGTCCATCTGGAAACCTAAAACCTGGGGAAGTGAGCAATTTTTAGGGAGGTATAAGCAACCTAAAGAGGGGACGGTGACCTCATGGGTACTGGATGCAAGCTTGAGGACCTGAATTTGAATCCCCAGATCTCATATAAAAACACTGAATCTGTCAGAAAACACCTGTAATGCCAGAACTGGAAGGCAGAGACAGGAGGGTCCCAGCCTAGGGGAGCATCAACTCCATGTTCAGAGTGAGACCCTCTCTCAAAACAAATGAAGAGCCACAGAGGAGGAAACTCAACCTTGACCTGTGGCCTCCTCACCTGTACCCACTGATGTGCAAATCTGCTCTCATGTACACAGGCACACAGACACTGAGGTGCCATAAGATTGGTCCAAGGACGAGTGGGAATTGAAGTTGAGGCATCATATTCCCAGATCTGATGGTAGTCAAGACCTTCCCAGCCTCTAATCAGCAGCCTCTAATCTGATGGCAAAGCCGAGCTGAACTGCAGAAGACAGTTCTTATGTTGTACAGGTTACAAGGGAGACGGGGAAGGAGAGGGGAACCTGCCAAGCGAGCTATTTGATAAATGTCGGCCGTTACAAAAGCTAGATAAGGCAACCCATAAAAGAACGTTACAGGCCCATTTCATTTATGAACAGATGGAGACACTAAATAAAATACTGGCTGAATCCAGCAAGGTTAAAATAATCACATTCCCTCACTATCAGGAAGTTTATCCCAGAGAAAACATCAACTACAGAGAACTTGCCAGCATATCTGCCTCAGAGGATCAAGGGGAAAAAATAGCCCAGTGTTCATGACGCCTGGAGCAGACACGGCTCTTGGATGAGGTCCTTAGTCTTCAGGGAAAAAGAAGTACCTTAATCTCCTGGAGCATTTCATAACCAAAGGCTGTGTCTATGTTCTGAAGGGCCAGGAAAAGGCGAAAAGAGCAGACATCGCTGCAGTGATCTGAGGCCTGGTGCCAGTCAGCAAGACAAGTAAAGGTGCCATTCTTTCAAGAGACAAGGCTAGACAAATCAACAGACAGAATAGTTAATGGATTCGGCATGGCTTCCAGGTGTGAAGTCACCGCCACCACCACCACCAACAAAATGGTATTTTTGCATCAGCAGTAACTAACCAGGAATACTCAAACTCATGTCAGCGCAAATAGGATATGGGACTATATACATATTAACAACAGTGGTTACATATAATCATATATCATTGCCCCTTAATTATGCAAATTAAATCTATAAGGAGCATCCGTGACACATATGTCCCGGCATTATAAGGGACCCATCTGCTCTTTTCTGTCTAGGAGTCAGGTCTCTCTATGTAACCCAAGCTAAACTTAAACTCATTATCCTCCTGCCTCAGCCTTAAAAGCACAGGGATGACATGTGTGCTTGCCCTTGCCTGGCTCCAATCTCCTTTTTTAAAAAAAAAGTTTTATTTTTACCTCTTCCCTGTACATAAGATCTATCTTCAAGGTACCCCTATGGCACAAGGCAGCTGCAGAACACCACCGTCCCACCTCTGACCAGAAGCAGAAGAAGAAAGAAGTGTCTGAGAGGTAAAAAGAAAGGCCTTCCCTTTAGGAACTGGGTCTCAGAATTTGCACCCAATGCTTTTGAATAGCTCACAACAGGAAGCTAGCTGCATGGTCTTGCCTAGCTGAGTGAATCACTGTCTTACACAGACTCAGGTCTTGGAGATGGTGGCAGGAAATAAAGACAGTTATTGGCGTGGACATTGTGCTGGTCTGTCTGAGACCCAGAGAGGGTACAGAGTTTCTGTGAGGCCACAGAGTGGATGAACAACCAGGGTATCCAGCCTGGCTCAGAGTTGACTGTGTACCAGCAGGTGTCTATGCCCACCTCGACATGCCAGCCATAAAGCCCAGCTGCTTCTCATTCCACACTTGCCCGATTCAGGTCCTGTGTGCCACTCCTCTGCCTCTACTACCTAACCAAATGACTGTGATCTGCCTTTCCTATCTCGCTGGTGTGATGCCTACCTGTGGCATGGCCTAGTCTCAGTAAGCATAGGAAGGACCAAACAGGGAGCTACAAATAGCAAGTGCCCAAGGTGGCCATGTCATTTCTCCCTCAGGCCCCGACTGAGGCAGGTTATATAGACTTATTTTCTAGATATTCTACCCACAGTGGTAGGCATTGCCTGTGTGTAACCTGAAGGGAACATATAGACTCCATGCTTGTTTTCTTTTGAGATAGGGTTTTGCTTTGTAGCCCAGGCCTACCCCTGTGTTCTGGGCACACAGGTATGTTGCGCTGTGACTGGTGGAGGTATTGGGAGCCACAGCCTTTTCCAAATACTTCAGCCCAGCCCTCTGTTGCTGCCACCTTCTTCTCTTCTTCTTCTTCTTCTTCTTCTTCTTCTTCTTCTTCCTCTTCCTCTTCCTCTTCCTCTTCCTCTTCCTCTTCCTCTTCTTCTTCTTCAAGTAGGATCTCTTGTAGCCATTCTAAACTCAAACTCTCTGTGTAGCCAAGGACAACCTTGAACTTCTGATATTCCAGCTCCATGTCCCAAGTGCTGGGATTGCAGGCATGCATCCCCACAACCAGTTTATTGCTCAGTGCTGGGGAACTGAGGGATTTGAGCATGCCAGGCACACACTCCACTAACTGAGCTGTAACCCTGGTAGAACCGCAGGCTTTTCTACCCATGTCCAACTTCCCGAAATAATGACCCTGAGAAGGAATTATTTCTGAATAACTGCCTAGGCCTAAGGCTTCTGTTTGGTCCCACTAGCTTACAAATCAATTAACCTGCTTATTCTGTTCTACGAATGCCACAGTTTCAGGCGTCCATCAGCGTTTGGGACAAATCTCTTCCCACCTGACTCTATCCCAGAATTCCCACCCCCGACCCGCACCCCCCACCAGATGTCCCGCCTTCTATTTCCTGCCTCAGTTCATTGGCCAATCAGCTTCTTATTGACAGATGATGCTTCTCCATAGAACACAGAAGACTATGTCTACGCCCTCATCTTTAAATCCATGTCCTTCTATCCAACATCTGTTGACAGGACCTTAGGGACATCCCCTGTAGCCAACGGATACACTTGGTGATCCTGTGTTTTATTCTCTGCATATTTCTGCCCAGTCTAGCGCCCAGGAAGCCACATGCCCACCAGGCACCTTCTGAACTGAGTATGCCAAGCTGCTCTGCTAGATCCCTCCTCTGGACATTTAAACATGCTGTTCCCCCTGGAACAGTCTACCGCAGAGCCTTGTTAGCTTTCAGAAATGGCGTCTCCCTCAGAAGCTGTTTCCCACCCTTAGTCTGAACAAGGGGGGCTCCTTGCTACTTCCATTGCTACTCCCATCCCTCCAGGCTCTGGAGCCCAGTTCTGTGCTGTGTCTCCAGTCCAGCAGAGCCCCTCAGAGCTGGTAGAATTCAACAAAGACAACTGGGCTCAATCAGATCAGCAGAGTCCAGCAAGTGCCAGCACACAGTAGGCTCAGTCTGCTTAGGCTTGGCCACACTAGGCCACCTTCAGAGCCCAGGAGGATAGGAGGCTATTGGTAGCCAAGAGCAGACAGGCCGCCAGGGAAGCTCTGCTCTGGGTCACACCCACCTCTGGGTGGCTGCCAGTCTCCCTTCCAGAAACCACAGGCTGGGTCTGGGCTGCCCAGAACTTGAGCTTCGGGGCTCAGGACGCCGTGGGTCAGATCTGCAAAGCATTTGACAGACGCTTCTGATCTCCAGGGGACCCTGGGGTGGGACAGGGGCCTTAACAAGGCTGCAGCTGCTGTGGCAGTGGCTTGGGATGGAGGTATTTCTTGCTGGAAACTGAGGACCTGAGAGGCTCCTGTCAGCTTGTCCTAAACTCTTGGCACTTGCGGTGGCTTGGGCTTCACACAGTCAGACGCCTTCTTGGTGGCCTCCACGGCCTCACCTTCAGGTAACTGAGCTTAGTCCTGGGACTATGGGGAGAAACATAAGGACTCTAAGTGTTTATGTGTGAGTGTGTGTTGAGTGTGTGTGTGTCTGTCTGTCTGTCTGCCTTTTTTTCTCTTTCTGTATGCACCTAGAAGGGGCCTCATTCCTTCTAGAACATAAAAAAGATTCAGGTCTTGCCTCCCAGGTTTGAAGCTGGCTTCACAGGGGACACGGTGACATGAGGGGCAGCCCACTGATCCATCTCCTGGCCATTTCCTTCCTCTGCCTTCTCTCAATGGTAAGGTATCCTGGTCTTGAAAGAGAGCAGAATTCTGGGTGGTGGAAAAGATATGTGGTCACAAGTTAGGACTCTTGGAAAGACCCTATACTGGATATAGTCTGGTCTTTTATGCCCAGGCTTGCTTCCTTCTCTGGGCCCAGACAGTTTGCAAGTTCTGCTGTGTGATTTCAGGTAAGTGTCCTTCTCTTTCTGAGCCTCAGCCTTGGTTGGATGGGTACAATGTTCATGAGGCTTCTGGGGAGATCATTGAGGAGAATTGCTCCACAGAGGACAGCACAGGTCCTGGATCTAGATGAGTGTCTAAAAAAGGACGGTGGGACCCCTCCAGTCTCCTCATAGAAACTAAACCAGATGAGAGTGCTGTGTGGCTCTGAACCAGGACAGAGATGGATGCTGAGGTCTGATTGCAAAGTACAGTCCCTGAGGGTACAGCATGCTGGCCCTCAGGTAGTCAGTGATCAGAGAGAGCAGGTGACATCTCTGTGGTAAATGTCCTTGCCCCTTGGTTCGAATAGGGCATCTTTTAACTGGCTTGTGAGTAGTTCCCGTTTGCCTTACATTCACAACAGTCTTATAAGAAATTGTCCTGTTTTAGTCAAAGAAGACTCAGAGAGGGTAAGCAACGCGTCCCAAGCCACACAGCAAAGAAAAAGAACAATAGAAGAACTGTGTGGTGGAGCCTGGGGCGGACATAGATGTGTCTGGAAGAAACCCTAGTTTGGGTCTCTCCCCCTAACCTGGACAGTTCCTCACACTAAATGTTGACTTCCCAGTAACATGGAGTTAGGGTCTGGAGCCAATGGAGTGTGAATATGAAAGTCTCCCACCCTGCCCCAAGAGGCCTCCCTGAACCAACTGCCTTCCAGTCTTGGGAGGGGATGGGGTGAAGAAAATGCTGGAGTGGGTGGCTTAGGTAGTTTCTTGTCCCCTCACGCCCCGCCCCGGGAGGGGAGGGTTCTGAAAGGAGGCAGCTGAGGAAGAGCTGCCCTGGACTCACCACTGGAGTGCCATCTGTGAAGCCATTCTTTCCTGGTCCGGAGGAGTTGATTGGCATCTGGCACAGAAACCTAGGGATGTAGTCATGGAGCGGACGTGAAGCCACATCCTTCCCAGGGGAGGGAATTCTGGGTTTTCTAGGCAGGCTGTGGGCTCCTGGCTCTGGACTGTGGCAGGAACAGAGAACCTGGAAATAGCCAAGTCAATGTTGATCAGGGCTGACAGCGACCAGAGTCCTAGTTAGTAGTCTGGGGAGACCAAGGCAACGGAGATAGCTTGAATATGGGGACAGGATGGTTAGCAAAGGCGGAGGAGAGGAGGGAGGCCAGAGGGGCTGCTGCTTCCGTATTCTAAGCAAGAACACCTGCCCTGCCTAGTTACTGTCCTTGAACTGCGGACAGAGGCTGAGGCAGAGGTTCAGATGCTAACGGAGCCCCGGGAGGACAACAGGCTCAAGAGTTAATTTTGGGTTCTGGCTTCCCCCCAACCTGGATTCTGATCCTGTCCCGGCTTTTCAGATATTTACCACTTGATTTTAACCTGCTTTGTCCTCATTGTTTTTGGAGTTTATTTTGAAACAAAGTATCTCTCTGTAGCCCAGGCTGGCCTGAAACTATGTAGCTCAGGCTTACTTCAAAATCTTCTGCCTCAGTCTCCCCAGTGTTATTACATCATCTTTAAATCAGACAAGCCGCCCATAGCTCACAGGAAAAGGGCTAAACAGACAGCTTGTCCACCCAGCATTCAGCGTAAGGGTATCATTAGTGGCTTTTCCTGGAGTCGGGACCTGAAGAAGTTAGAAGCTACCGAGAGCCTGCAGCAGGCCTAGGGCTCAGTAGAAGGCTTGTGTTTAGCCAGTTCTGCTCCAGTCAAGGGAGTCAGACCCCTTCCTCTCTTCTCTCAAGACAACTGCAAGTGAGTTACCCAAAAATGTTGAGATTACATGTTGAGATTACACAGAAGGCTTGGAGAGGTGACGGTGCATGTTCATAGCAAGCTCCCAGAGGCTGCTGGTCCAGAAACCCTCTGGAACCTGAAATTCTGCAGAGTGCCCTGCCTTAGGTGGGAACCGCTCATGCACTGGTAGGGGACAAGCAGCAACTCTGGGGCGGCGCCTGCTGGCCAAAGTGAGAACTACAGGCCCTGGGAAGAAGGTCCAGGGGTGGGAAGGATGGGAGGGGGGCGAGGCACAGTAAACGGATCACTGTTTCCTTGGGTCCATCAGGAGGTATGGAGTCTTTAGTTTTCTTTTCCTAAATCACAAATCCTCCATATAAGACCTTTTACTCCTGTTAAAGATGGATCGTCCACTGGTGGGGTAGGCAGTCTGGAACATCTCGAGTGGTCTTGGTCCCCACCCTCTCAGAAGCTCACAGCTTCTGGTACTTCATTTGTGTATTTCTGTCCTGGGTGGGAGGCGCAGTTGTGGCGCTGGGGTGAAGCCCTGCCATGAATGTGTACCGAGCCCCTGGCTCAGTTTTTGCCTCCTTCAGAAGTGGACTCCTCTGGGTCCGTGAGTCCACATCTGCAAGGTGGGCTTGCCACGGCTCTCAGATCTGACTATGGGCAATCACTTTCCCCGCTGTGGAGTCAGTTTTCCCATTTGTGCACAGTGGTGGGGGAGTGGAGTGGTGTGGTATAGGGGTGGAGAGTTGGGGTAGGCTGGGCCAGATGGGCTGTGGACATAGATGGATTTTAGAAGCTTCTGGACCTAGATATTTCTTAGAAGGTTCTAGACAGAGTATTAAATAGATCACAGGTCCTGCCTCTGTGACTTCTAGTTTCATGAGTCCCAGAGGAGGCCTTGGAATCTGTATTGCCTTCTCCTGGCTAATCTGATTTGCACTTAAGGCTGGGAAACACATTGGGCTGTGCCAAGACCAGGAAATTGCATGTTCGGTTTGACTTCTTCAGCCTGAGGGATAAGAACACACCCTTCACTTTGTATCACTCCTCTGGCTTTTGCACTTACCTTCCTATGAGCCCATAGCAAAGATGACCACAAGAGTTAGCCACATTCAGGAAGCTGAGGAGGTTGCTTGGTGAGTAAAGTGCTCTCAGTGCAAGTCTGAGGACCAGAGATGGAGCCTCAGCACCCCTGTGTAGAAACCAAGCACAGTAGGACACATCTGTATCCCCAGAGCTGAGCGGGCAGCAATGGACAGATCCTCAGGTTCACTTGGCTAGGCAGCCAATCGGTGAGTGTCAGGCTTGCTGAGATACTCCACCTCAAAAATAGAAGGTAGAGAATGATAAATTCCCCCACCTGATGTCGATGTCTTCATATTTACACACAAACACCTGCACACTGCACATACATGTGCACACCAGAAATAAACAAACAAGCAAAAAGACAGCCATATTGACGGACAGCCTCCTATCCAGGCTCAGGGATTAGTGATGTTATTTCCTGTGGCCGTTTTACAAACGAGAGAACTCAGGCTTAGAGAGTTCAAAGAGGTCTCAGGCCACTCAGCCAATAAGGCAGAGCCTAGGACTGACACTCTGACCTGGGTCCTTGCCCAAGGTCAGCCCCATGCCACCTCTTAGGAGCACCGAGGGATGGCTCAGGCTGAAGTCCAATTCTGCCTGACCCCGGAGGCCAAACTAAGGATCCCACATTGTCTGATTTGGCAGAGAAGTGACCAGTTGTGAGAGTCTCCATACTTTCCATGATAGTCAAAACTGAGTGAGGTTTCTGTCTTCTCAGGTGTGCGCCCAGCTGTGCCCGACACCCTGTACCTGTCCTTGGACACCACCCCAGTGCCCACTGGGGGTACCCCTGGTCCTGGATGGCTGTGGCTGCTGTCGAGTGTGTGCGCGGAGGCTGGGGGAGTCCTGCGACTACCTGCATGTCTGTGACCCCAGCCAGGGCCTGGTTTGTCAGACTGGGGCGGGCCCCGGTGGCCATGGGGCCGTGTGCCTCTGTAAGCAGGTTTGCTAGACCAGTGTGTGTGTGGTGGGGGCGGGAGTAGGTTGTCAAGGCCATGAGATCCCGAGTCAAAGTAGAGCCCACTCCCTGTATCTCTTCCATCTCACTTTAGACACTAGGTTTACTCAGCTCAACTGGTGACCCAAGGGCCTGTTCCCCATTTCTTCCCTCTTGTCCTCTGCTGGGAATGTCCTGATGGTGATTCCGTCCACACCCATCCATGTTAGAGCCAACTTCCAGAGCTGGGCCAACAGCTGCCCCTAGGCAAATGTACAGCCCCGTGGGGAGCAAGGGTACAGGTTGCATGTGGGGTGTGGTATGTGCCACAAGCAGTGTGGGCACTTGTCCTGTTGCACAAGTTCTACAAAAAGGGAAACTGAGGCTCAAAGATGTTAGCTGGCATGCTCTGTGCTCCACAGCCTGCTCCAGCGCCAAACAGGTTTAAGTAACAGTGCACTTCCCCAATCCCTGGGCTGGGAGCCTTAAGATACTTTGACACACACACACACACACACCACACACACACACACATACACACACACACACCATGCTGTTTTCCGGTGGCACTGGACGTGTGACATTCCTCACCACACTCTCAGGCCTGGGTGTCCTCTGACACTTTGGGGCAGGGCTTGATGACCGGTCCCAGGACCATGGTTGCTAAGCTTTCTGTGGCCTGACCTTTAGTAGCACCCTCTCTGCCTATGAGGTGTCAGGATCAGCTGCCAGTAGGACCTTGCCAAGGCCCCCCCCAAAGCAAAATTACCCCAGTTGAAACTTTAGAGAGAGATGGCTCAGTCTTTTTGTTGTTGTTGTTTTACAATTCATCTACTGCATCTAAGTGTGTTTCACATTCTGACAAAAACATGACCTCATCCTTGGCTTTCTTGTTCCTGCTCTCCGCTCCAGCCTCACTAGCCTTGAATACCCAAACCATGGTCTGGACCACAGGGCCTTTGCGCTGGCCGTTCCTCCATGCTCACCCTTTCCTAGATACCCACGTGGAAGTTCCCTCACTTCTTTCACATTCCGACTCACTTGTCACCTCATCTGTGAGGCCCTGTCGCTGTAGTTAAGAAATTGCAAATCTCCTCTAGTACATTAGCCTGATATTTTACTAGGCCGGACCACCAGGCAATGCAGCCTCGGCTCCTCGGCTGTGTTCATTACCACTAGAGTGCTCCAGTGGGGAGGATGTTTGCCCACGTGCCCATATATCCTGAATTACAACTGCCTGGCACATGGCCTAGGCCACAGGAGGTGCTCAGCAGATATTTGTGGCTTTACGTGGATGCCAGCGGAGGTTCTAATGGGGCTGGCAGTCACTGGATCCCTTTCCTAAGTCCTGTGGGAAAACACCGTAGGAGCCCATTTCACTTTATCCTTAACACAGAAGTACATCCTAATGTAGCCCCTATTTTGCAGGTGAGTGAGCTCAGTTCAGAGAGGGTTAAATCACTTAAGTGGGTCCCAGAGCTTACAAGTGGTGGAAAGAAAAAGTGTAGCTCTTATGATTCCTGTCTTGCAACTGACTTCCGGAAGGAAGAAAGGACTTAGGGATTCCCAGATAGCAAGTCCATGGCTTGTGCTCAGGGGAGGCTGAGGACCTCAGACGAAGGTTGGTATCATGGGTGGGGAGGAGAGGTTGTCAGCAGAGGGGATTTGTGGGGAGCAAGAGTTTGGCTGCTGGACATGGGTACAGCTGGGTAGGATTCCGAGACAGTTCACAGGATCTGCAATGTTAAGGGACCCCTCATAGCAGAAATGACCCTGCTGAAGGACTGGCTGCCCAGTCCCACATACCCCATGCCCAGCCAGCTCTCAGTTGATGGTCTATGAGGTGCCAGGAACTCTTGCTAAAATTATCATCCTCCTATTGAGTTCTCTAAACATGCCTCTGTTTGTCAGGTCATCCTGGCAACCGGGGGCCAAAGCTGAGGCTGAAGTCAGGATGTGTGTGAGTGTGTGTTTGTGTGTGTGAGTGTGTGATGCTCTATGATGGGTGTGTGTGTGTGATGAGTGTGTGTGTTATAAGGTGTGATGTGTATGTGATGAGTGTGTGTATGTGTGTATAATGGCTGTGTGTGATGAGTGTGTGTGTGCAAGCATGTTCGTGTGTGTGTGTGTGTGTGTGTGTGTGTGTGTGTGTGAGAGAGAGAGAGAGAGAGAGAGAGAGAGAGAGAGAGAGAGAGAGTGTGTTTGTGTGTGTGATGGATGTGGTGGAGTGAACACAGAAGTGGCAAGGCCAGGTAGGGATCAAGGCGAATCTGCCTGTTGTTTCTAGGGAACCATTGACAACATGGTCCAGGCCAGAAGTGTCCAAGGAGTTGTGATCTGGAGGCAGTGGGGAGAGGGAAGAGTCCTCTCTGGAGAACGAGGGGCTGGGCTCCAGCCTTCCAGACAGGTAGTGGCATGGAGGCCTGCATCTTGAAGATATCACCGTGTGTTTCTTGGGCATCTCTACGTGCCTGGCCCTGTGCTAGATGCTCTGTGTGTTGATCCATGTAACCTGAGGGCACAGATTACTGTCACTGACGGTGATAAGCCCACTTAGAGAATTTAAGCAGCCAATATAAAGCTCTAAACCCAGAAAATTAAGCCTGACCAGACAGGGATGATGTCACACAGGAAGAGGACAAAGAGGCTGCCACATGAAGTCCCAGTCCCAGTGTGTGCTTCCCAGCTAAATACTAAACATCGCTAACTTTAAAGTGTCTCTAGCCCAGTCTGGTCTTGAACCTCTGAATCTCTTGCCACCACTTCCCAAGTGCTAGGCTTACAGGAGTGCCACCAAGCATGTTATCACAGAGTTTATACAATGCTGCAGATTAGATTTGTCACACACATAATTTCATTTCTTCTGTAACACGCTGTGAAATAAGTTCCAACATATCCTATTTTTCATATGGAGAAACTGAGGCAAGAAGTGAAATTACCTGGCCCATAGCTAAGAAAATACAGATCTGGTGCCCAAGCCAGGCTCCCGGATGCCTCTCTGTCTGTCTGAAGAGGGAGGCTGGCCAGTGGGGCAGGTATGTGGTGAGGAGCAGGGATAGTACAGCGTGCCTGTCTTGTGCTCTGACCTCAGGACCCTGTGCTTGTCCCCTTTCTCCTCCCTGTGCAGTGGAAGAGGATGACGGCAGCTGTGAGGTGAATGGCCGCAGGTACCTGGATGGGGAGACCTTTAAACCCAACTGTAGGGTCCTGTGCCGCTGTGATGATGGCAGCTTCACCTGCCTGCCGCTGTGCCCTGAGGATGTGCGCCTGCCCAGCAGGGACTGCCCACACCCCAGGAGAATACAGGTGCCGGGGAGGTGCTGCCCCGAGTGGGTGTGTGACCAGGGAGTGACACCGGCGATCCAGCCTTCCGCAGCCCAAGGTGAGTGAGTGTGGGGTAGGCCCCGGCAGCTCCTAGAGACAAAACTGGCAAGCTGATAAACCAAAAGGCAACCACTTAGGAATATAATTTTAACTAAGAAATCATGAAAAATAAAGTTCAAGGGGACTTGAGATATGGCTCGGTAGTTAAGCACACTTGCTGTTCTTGCCGAGGACCGGGGTTCAGTCCTTAGCACCAACATGGTGGCTCATAACCATCTGTAACTTCAGTTCCAGGGGAATCTGATGCCCTCTTCTGACCACTGTGGGTGCCAGGCATGCACATGGTGTACGTACATATATGAGACAAAACATATGCACATAAAATAAAAATAAATAAATCTTAAGACATAAGGGTTCAAGTTCAGGTGGGAGAGTCGGGGTGGGAGCGGGGGTAAGAAGGAGCATTAGCGTTCTTGGTGAAATTTTTCTGTCTCACAGCACTGGTGTTAATATAGTATAAGTGGTATAATAGTATAGATAATAAACATAGAAAAATGTATTATGATATAATATATATATCGAATATATAGTTATGATACTTAAATACATGTGAACAATTTATAAAATTATGAACACGTGATTGTTTGAATGTAGGTAAAATCCATAGGGAAAAGATTATATAAAGGTGGACCAGGCACGATGAGTTTGGGCCACACCCCGGGGCGAGGCAGAGGTACATGCAAGACAGCTACATCCTTCTATAAGCTTTCCAATCCTGGGATTTTGTTGTCTTGTTTCTTTAAAAATACTATTCTGACCACGTGAATTTGACTGGGAAAGGTGACCAGGAAATGAAGCCTGGTTCTGTGGGTGCCTCTCCACCTACTTGGGAAGGCAGGAGATGGGTGGCTCAGATAAATGGACACTGTGTTTCTAAACTCAGCTCTGGCCATGCTTGCTGTGTGACTCTAAGACAGTTGTTGAAATTCTTGGCCTCAGTTTCTCCAACTGTAAGATGGAACTGATAAGAACATCTACTTTCTAAAATTGTGGAGAAGATAAAATGAATTCGTGCAGGTAAATGTTGTTAAGAAGGCCGGACGCTCGCACTGTAGAAGCGCTAAGGCCAACTTTATACCTGCCAGGGATTATGATACATCAAGTTAGGCACATAGGAGGCAGTCATCCGAATCACCTTATGTATCCCTCTCCCCAGTAGTACTTGGAATTGAACCTACACCCTTGTACACGCTAGGCAAACACTCTACCATTGAGCCATGCCACCAGCCCTCAGCAAGTGTATCAAAAAAGCAATATAAAAACCCTGCCTCTCGTCTGACCTTCCCTGTGTACACATGGACAGGGCCATGAACACACTTGCAGTTATTCCTCTGTATAACTCAACCAGCTGTGCATCAGAAATAGTGTAGTACAAACAATATAAGCTTATTCCAGACAAGCTTACAAATAAACAACACTCAGACTGTGGTTATTTTATTTGGCTTAACAATTACTGGGGGCAGGGGTCACCCCTTATCTACTCTTCTAACTGCAGGCCTGGCTATCTCCCTAGTGGTGGACCCCAGATACTTGCTATTTCTCCTGGCCATATGCTTGGGTCATCTTCCCTCATGGTGGCTTCCTCCTCTTCCTCTCTCTCTCTCTCTCTCTCTCTCTCTCTCTCTCTCTCGCTCTCGCTCGCGCTCTCGCTCTCGCTCTCGCTCTCTCTCTCTCTCTCTCTCTCTCTCTCTCTCTCATCGCCCTCCCCCTCCAGCCAGGTTACTCCAAACCCTCCTACCTCTAATCCCTCCAGTAACTGGCTGTAGCCAATTTTATTTAACAAATAAGTTTAAATTAAGGAGCAAGGTTTGCACAACAAAAGCTTGTAAACATGGGAAGTCACTCAATAAAAGCTTGTAAACACAGGAAGTCTCTCCTAGGCCTAGACCTTCAGGCATAGAATTTAGCATTACAATACATAGTGCGAGGCCAAACCTCAATAAAATAGTTTTGTAATCGGCTTGCACTGAGCATACATGTGCAGACTATTCCTTAGCAAAGATGGTTTCAGAACTATCCAGTAATGTTTCCATTTCAGCTAGCGACAGTGACTGAGAGGTGACCTGAGTTTTGGCATCTGTGCAAACACTGCACCATTTACACAGGGATCCAAGTGCCCTCGCGCCTCCTGCCCTAACATACAAACACATGGCACCTATGTGTGCCGAGCAGGGTTTCTCAGCATCAGTGACATTTGGGGTGGCCTGAGTCATTCTTTGTGGTTGGGTGCTGTTGGGTATGACGTGGGATGTGGAAAGACAACCTTGCCTCTACCCTCTAGATGTCAGTGGCAACATCCCTCCCCAAAGCTCCTTGTATACATTCATTGACTGTGACAAAGGAAAATGTCTCTAGACATTGCCAAATGCTCTCAGGGCTAGAATGAAGGACATCAATCAAAAAGGAAAAGGAGAATCGGTGAGGAAGAGATAGGCCATGTACAGGCTACAGTGCCACGCCACACAAGTGGTAAGACACCATATATCAGTGAGTCGGAAGGTAGAGAAAAAAGAAAGATAGCAGGTAGAGGAATTTCCTTTAATTATCTGATTGGCTAAGAAAGATGACAAATAGCCAATCACTGGACTAAAATGAGGAGGCAAGGTTTCTGAGCAAGACAGGAAGAGGGGGGGAGGAGGAGGAGGAGTTGGAGGAGACTGAGAACAGAGAGGATGGAGGGAGAGTTGTTGAGAGGAAGGTGGAGCAGAAGCGCACAGCCCTGAGAAAGTGCAAGTAGCAGGGATTTCATATCTGGGGAAGAAAGTGGTGTAGAGGCAAATCTGCCCAATATAGGCATGCAGGTTATAAATACAACCAAGTTACTCCTTGGATGGGCTTATTGGGGTTGGAGATTTACCACAACAATGACCTTTGGTAGTTGTTTTGTGACCGATGTCAGCAGGGTGCACTATGCTCAGACACCCTCAGCTATTGCTTTATTCAGTCCCAAATGTTAGGAAGCTTAGCAAGTAACTAAGGCTGAACAGCCTTGCCAGGTTCCGTGATGACCAGCTGGTGAGCTGACTTAGCTGCTGAGTCCCATCTTCTCTTCTTTCTAACCGCAGGACGTCAACTTTCTGCCCTTGTCACTCCTGCATCTGCTGATGTCCCCTGTCCAAACTGGAGCACAGCCTGGGGCCCCTGCTCAACCACCTGTGGGTTGGGCATAGCCACCCGAGTGTCCAACCAGAACCGATTCTGCCAACTGGAGATCCAGCACCGCCTGTGTCTGCCCAGACCCTGCCTGGCAGCCAGGAGCCGCAGCTCATGGAGCAGTGCCTTCTAGAACCAACTGGGGATGCGGATCCAGGGCCTGCCGTTCTTAGCAAATGTCCCTAGGACCAGGCCCTGGTAGATGCCCCTCTCCATGCTCTTGGCTGCAGTTAACTGTCCTGGTTGGAGTCACCATCCAGAGTCACTGAGCAATCTCTGTCTGAGGAACAGGGAGCAGGTGACCGGCTTCATTTCTCTGTTTCGGCCTGGGAGTCTGACCCAGGCTTCTGGGTTCTCCTGTCTAGTTCCTTGTCAAACGTGCACACGGGACAGCTTTCTCTCAAAACTTCCCTGTATGAAAAGGACAATCAAAAGGACTTTTAAAGCTTGGCTGTGCTGGGCAAGCCTGGCCACCATGCTGGGGACAACGTCAATAATAGGTACCAGGCAGCAGATTGCCCGAAACTTCCTATTCCCTTCTTGAACTTCTGTGTGCTTATCCCCAAAGATTATGGGTGAACTTGTAAGTGTGCCTTCCTTGATCTGAGAACACCCTGCCTGCCCGGGAAGAAATCATGTCTCTGTGAACATGAAGACATGGAGTCACACTGTCCTAAGTGTCCACAAAGTCCAGGAACTTGACCTTTGTATTTGTAAAAATGCATGTCTCTTAAGTGCTCACAAAGCAGGAGGCTCCACACGTTTGACAGGCCAGAGCCTTTCTCCTCAGCATGAGAAAGACAGGGGACAGCAGAGTACACTCCTCTGGAGGACTGGCCCAGCCTGGAATACGCACCCAAATCAAGTGTGGAATTTTGTTTGGTGTCTTGTGTTTTTGTGCAGAAATAAAACAAGGTAAAGCCTACATAAACATAAATGTTACATCCTCTCCACTTTGTGGCTTGGGAGACAGCTCGGTTGGTAAAGCATTTGGCAGGAAAGCATCAGAAGCTGTGACCCTACATACAAAGGTCAAGTGTGGTGACCTCCCTCATGATGCCTGTCCTGGAGACCTGGAGGCAGGAGAGTTCCCAGGGCTCCATAGCCAGACAGCCTAGCCTATTTGGTAAATTTCAGGCCAGTGAGACACTCTCAAAAAATACAGTGGACAGCTACTAAGGAACAGCGCACGCGCGCGCGTGCGCGCGCGCGCGCACACACACACACACACACACACACACACACACACAGCAAATACTTTTCAAACTAGAATTTTCATGAAGGTCTAACCAAGCCATCAGAAGTGTCTCTGGCTGGCACCATGCCCTTAACCCCAGAACTCCAAGGCAGAGAGAGGCAGGTGGATGAATCTCTGTGAACTTGAGGCCACCCTGGTCTACATATTGGGTTCCAGGCCAGCCAGAGCTACACAGTGAGATCCTGTCTCAAAATTCAAAATCTAAACAAACAACAGTAGTGTCTATGTTTAAACAGTAATTTTTCCCCCTATGAAACTTTAAGGTGTATGTAATTCACACAGATGCACAAGGCACAGACTCTGACTTGAGTCTTTAGTCGTGTGACTCGTGCACTCGTGTGACCAACAGCTCCATCCAAGTATCTAATGTTCCCATCACCTCAGAACAGTCCTGTGCTTCCTGCAGCTGGATTCTCTTGGTCAGGTGACCCCTGTCCTGCCTGATTTCCATCCCCACAGGTGTGAGTTTGCACACTTGACGCCTCACACTCTTTAATGACCAACTTGGCCCACTCGACAGGAAAAGAGAAGAACCAGTTAGTGGAGGTACTGAGTCCATCCCAGAGACCAGCTAGAGAACCAAGATCAGCACCACACCTGGAAGTGAGAGCCGCTTCCTGGTGGCAGACGTAAGGTTGACAGACCCAAAGCTGTCCCTGAAGGCAGAAAGAACCTTAGGATGCAAGGCTGCCTGAGTCACCAATCAGGGTGGAAGGTCAGCTTCGGTGATTCTGTAGTCAGAATGATGGAAGGCAGAGACAGGAGCCCTCCCTGTGTGAAGTGGTGGCGCTGGGCTCGTAGGTGACGACCTTCTAACCTTCCTGTCTCCAGCTTTCAGAACTGAGCTAACTGGGTCTGTCTGGCTGCAAGTGTCTCCACTCACTTCCTTAGTGCTGGGTTGGAGAAGCAGGGGAGCGTGGTGTCACAGACCCAGTGCTCTCTGGAGACTGCTCTGTCAGCTATGGCTGAAGTTTCCAGCACAGAGTTGGTCTCTGTGGATGAGGGGCACCCCGTCTTCATGCATGTCGAGGGGCTAATGAAGACGGGGCTCCTTTGGTGAAAGGCAGAGAGAGATCTCTGTCTAGATGCCCAGCACGGTCCATGTCCTAACTGGAAACAACTCTAGAGAATCTGGCCCTCTAGACCTTCCCCGGGAGTCGGCATCGGACTGGTCTAGTGAGCATTTCCTGTGTCCCGGTGCATCTGTCCATGACTTTACGAGATGTGAGGTGCTTGAAGGAATTCCTGCTCTATAGGGGAAACTGAGGCCAGAGAGGTAAAATTACGGATACTATCAAGGCTGGGACTCGCAGAACCAGCGGAACCCAGGAGCTGTGCGCCCCTCCCTTCCCCGTCTCGTCTCCCTCTTATCATTTCCGGTCTTTTCTCTCCTCCTTTGTTTTATCTGTCCCGTCTCTCCTCCTCCTTTCAATCTTATTTTTTTTTTCCTTCCTTTCCTAGATTACATGTGGTCATTTGTCTACTGTTCAAGAACAGCCTGCCCTTCCACCAGGATCTGGTCAAAGCAGGAGCTGCATTTCCTGAGTCCGCGGCCCCCAGCCCACCCTGTGTCACCACTTCACTAAAAGCTGTGGTTTCAAATGGGCTTTGGTAGAGGAACCTGCAACATGGTGCTGTCCCCTAGTGACATTTGTAAGCATGAACAGTGGAGACGCTGCCAGCCAACTGAAGTCCTGAGAATAGAGCTCACTGCTGCCCCCTGTTGTCTAGATGCAAAAGTGCATCCTGTTTGAAGACCGGCGGGAGCAGCTACTTCAGCGTGAGGTGGTGATAGAGATAGCCAGTTTTCGTTTGTTTGTTTGTTTGTTTGTTTGAGGTTGTTGTTGTTGTTATCTGTGCTGAGTGTATTGGTTAATCATTGGTCCCTGAGTCATTTTACCTTGTCTGTCCCCTAGATGACTCCATCGTGAGAGCCTTCTTCCATTGGCCACACTGCATACCCAGGAACACCTTTGTCAAGCACAACTATGACCAAGTCACTCTACTTAAGCTCCTCAGGGACCCTGAGATAACCCTCCACCCCACTGGACCAGATCCCCACGACTCCCAGACCTGCTGTGTCTTCCAGATCTTCTGTGTGGAGACACCCCAGATGGCTGTGGAGTCTCCTCTTGGCCAGATTCTCCACCTAGACCATTCTCTAGGCTGCCTGCTCTGACCTGGATAGCTCTTGCTGTTCCTTGTGACTCTCAGTCTCATTTACTGCTAGGGTAAACTCCTCTGGCTTCCAACTAGATAAAGAACCAACCTATGTGGGTAGTGTTTGGCGTGGTTCAGAAGTCAGGGAGAGAAAGGATGCAGGGATCAGAGGGAGGGTAGAATAAAGCCTTGACTCAGGCTGGCCTCACAGTCTCTGTGTTTCTGGTGGATGAGGTGACAGATATTATCATGTAATGCCACCCAGGGAGCTGACACAATTTTACCAGGGTCTTGTAGTTAGTGTGTTATAGGCCCAGGATCTAAACCTGTTCTCTGTCTCTAGAAACTTGCCCTTGACCTCACTACATAGGCTGAGGGCCTGGAATAGGAGGAGGAACCCAGTAGAATGTTTCTAAAAAGGGCCTGCAGGTGAATCTTGGAGCTTTCTGGAATATTGGAGTTCTTAGTACCTGCTGTTTGACCTTAGCTATGTTAGACTTTATCTGAAGCTCTGAAACAGTAGAAAGTCCCACTTAGGGGTCTGCTGTGTATGATTTGATTGTCACAAGAACTTACATGATACGTGTGTCAGGGTAATGCTAGCTGCCTTACATTCTGACAGGATGGTGACTTCCCTCCGTGTGATACATCTGGCCATTTACATGGTGACCCACCATCCCCCAGGGCACAGAGTCCTTTGTGTCTACAGTGCAGACAGAAATGGAAAAATCCCCCTACCCTCTAAAGGTCATGCCTGGAACCCACACTCTAACTTGCACCCCATTGGTGACACTCACCACACAAACACTTGTGGCTGTAAGAGAGACTGGCAATGTCATGTCTTGCTGGGCAGGTGTCTCCACGTCAACACTACACTGTGGAGTCTTTGCTAGAATTAGAGTGACAACAAGACTCTTCTTAGCAATCTGTCTAGCCAGCTTACTCGGCTAATCAGAGCTCTGTAGGCTGTTTGAATGGGACACTCCCGCCACACGCCTGCTGAGTGGCCAGCAGGCCACCCTCTGGCACCCTTGTCTCCTCTGGCTTTCTGCCATCAGATTGCATGTTTGCCAAGAGTCTATTGGGTTTGTTTCCAAACTGGCCTGACCAGCCACAGTGGCCTTTGTGAAGAGGCAATTGGATTAGCGATCCCATAAGCTAGTGAAATCTGAGCACAAAAGAAACAGATTTGTTTTCTAATGAGAATTCAATAAAGACTTGTGGTTTAAAAACTACTTTAAATTGGGCATGGAGGACACAACTCTGAAAGTTCTGGAAAGATATATCCAGGAGGCAGCTGACAAGTCAGTGGTTAAGAGCATGTGCAGCTCTTACAGACGCCCTAGGTTTGATATCCAGCATCACATCAAGTGGCTCACAACTGCCTGTAACTCTAGCTCCAGGGGTCCGATATCTCTGCAGGCGCCTGCTCACATGTGTGCACATGTGTGCACGCACACACACATACACACATGTACACACATGCGCAATACACACACACACACACTTGTACATATGTATAGGCATGGACACACAAGCACACACATACATGCACATGTGTACACATGTACACACATGCACACATGCTCACATGCACACATGCACACATGCTCACACATGCACACACATGCACACATGCTCACACGTGCATGCACACATGTGTACATACACATGTACACATGCATACACATGCATGTATACATGCACATGCACAC